TCAGAGTGGGAGTCTTGCACTCTCAGATCTTGGAGCTGTATCTGTCACGGCCTCACCTGGAGCCGGTGCTGGCAGCAGAGCTGCTGTGGGTACTGCTGCCTGCATTGCTCCTGCCAGTGGGCCTGCTTCCTCCCCGGCAGCAAATGCATCGCTTTGAGTTTTTTACCCCATCCTCAAAATAGTCTCAGAGTAGAGAGGAGGGGTTTGCACAGCTGCTGGGGCTGCAAGAGAAGCAGGATGAGTTGTGCCCATTGATCAGCCATCCAAGACATGGGCTGGGGAGAGCTGGCAAAGCGTTACGCACTGACATTTTGAGTCAAAACCGCATCACCTGTAGGAGCAACTAATGTGCTCCTCCCCCTCAGCCCCTAACCCAAAAAAGCTGCTTTGAAATTTTGCATTGAATTAAAAAATTCCTCCTTCCCAATACTTTGCAAGGAGACGATCGTTGTAGCAGGGGCCTCTAGGTGGCAACATCGACCCGAAATGCTGCAAGCAGGAGCAGGGGTCCTGCCGGACTGGAGCAGCCTGGCCCGAGTGGGAGCCCCCAGGCCCCACACCCAAAGTGGGAAACACGAATCTGTGCTGCCCTGGGCATCTTTCTGCAGGGGCTGAGGACAGGGCCAGCCACCCAAGGGTGCCTGCACCCCAAAATCCCCCTAGACTGCAAAAATCTCTCTGGTGCAGAGAGGTAGCAAAATGTTAAAGGGTTTTCTCTGCAGCAGAAATTCACTTGATGCTCTCAGCACCTGCTCTGCAGATACAGGGGAATAAATGTCCTGGTGGGTCTGTCGGCTCTGCAAGGTGGACATATGTGGCTGGAGCTGCTGGCAGGTCTTGGTGCTGGGATCACTCACGAGCCATTCAACCTCCAGGCGTCGAGGGAAAGCTGTGAGATCCGCGATAGGAAATGAGGGCCGCTGCCTGCTCATCCCTGCTCTGCTGCCTGCCTGCAGGCAGGGCTGTAAAGCGAAGGCATGGGGCTTCTGTGCGGAGTCGGGAGTGCCGATACATGGTTTCATGTCCAAAGGCTGCGCTAGAAGTTGTGGATTTCTAGTAAATCGGGATAGACCCTCCAGTGGCACCCTCCATTCAAAAGGCTTGCATGACACCGGAGTTTAAAGCTTAAATTAACCCAGCTTTAACCACACAAGTGTAACTGAAGCGGCGTAACCTTTGGGTGGGAATACCAGTACGGCATGCCCTTGCTGCGGTGTAACGGTGTGCTGCCGGGGGTCATTGGCATGGAAAAGTCCTACCCCTGCCTGAAACAGGACACATATTTTGTACAAAGCAGGGCCTGGGCTCTTCTTTTGCAAAATGGGTTTAGTCTGTGCTCAGGGAGCTGCAAAGCTTAATTAAGATCCTTAAAAGTACAAAAGGTGCTACATAAATTCAGGGGATTATTATAAATGTCACCGTGCTTTACAAGCTCTGGCAAAACTCACAGGAGGAATAACAAGACCTTTCACTTCACAGCCCTTCCTAGCAGGGCTACTTAGAGCTTCACGCTTCAACATAGCAGCCGTAAAATGTTGACATTTATAATTAGATGTGCATAATAATCTCTTTATTCCCGAACTGAAAAGACAGGGTGTGTCTTGAAACGTCAGTTCCTCCTCCTCGCAAAGGATCCCCCTTAGTGGGGTTGCTCACCAAACCATCGTTTGGCAAAATGCTTCGGGCCTGGTTCGAAAAGGTACCAGATCTTTGCAGCTCCCTCAGGGAGCTGTGCGATGGGCACTTAGTGAATAAAATCAAAGACTCTGTGTGGTTTTAATCTGATTAGTTGATGATAATCCGGTGGTATCATGCAGCAAAAGCTGTCCAGCTTTATTAGGCAATCTCTTGTTTTAAGAGAACTGTGCTCAGGGGAGCACTTGGCTCTGATGTTTCTGTTGAGGACTGGCAGAAATGGGTGATTTTTGGTGGTTTTAGTGCTTTGTGGGAATAACGTTAATTTGGTGCTTGGACAGCTGGAGATCAGTGGATTTTGGTCCCATTGGTGCCATCAGCAGCTTTGTGCAGCCCCTCTGCCAGGGGGGTTGGTGGTGGAGGGGGCAAAGGGCTGACCCGGTCCCACTGACGCTGAAGGTGGGGGTCGGCACCCGGGGCCGGTCCCGGGTCGAGGATGGGGGATCTGCCCCTAGGGCCGGTCTCGGACCACCGCGTTGGTCCCGTGTCGAGCACTGGGGACCCCCTTTTGGGGCCAGTCCCCGGCCACCGGGTCGGTCCGGGGTCAAGCATGGGGGGATCGCCCCCCCGGGCTGGTCCCGGACCACCGGGTCGGTCCCGGGCCAGGCATGGGGAACCCCCCGCCGGGGCCGGTCCCGGCCCACCGGGTCGGTCCCGTACCGTATCGGTCGCGCCTCCCCCCGGCCGGTCCCGGAGCGCGGTGTCTCTCCGACTGGGCCCCGTTCAGAGCCAGACGCTTGCCCCGGAGCCCAGGGGCATCCCCGGGGCG